TACTATATATTGTTCAATAGTCTAATACATAAAGCACTCCTCAAGTGATAAGACTAATTTAGGGACAGCTGGCTGGCTCAGAGGAGCCTGCGACTCTGACCTTGGGGTCCCAAGTTCAAGCCCCACACTGGGTGAGAGATTACTAAAAAATAAAATTTTTTTAAAAGGCTAGATAATCTAATGAATATCCATTTGTTTGCTAAATTCTTTGACAATGTAGGGAGCTCCTTGATCAGGTACATGGCTGCCTCAGGGTCTGGCTTGCTGGAAGAATTTCCCTTGCCAACCCAAGGATCCTTCAGGTCCCAGATGAAGAGAACAGTGCCAAGGAGGGCGCTGGTGGGAGGGTGCACTGTATCACTCCGCAAGTCTATTCCCATCAGGGCTGGAACCAGGAGAACCCTAAACTCCGAGGAAGCAGGAACCTTGTTACTGTTCTCAACTATATCCCTGCTGCCTAGAGCTGTGACTGGCGCACACTGGGCCCTCCACAAGTATCTGTAAAATGACTAATACTTGGGCCTATGGATTGCCTTAGGGATTGAGCAAACATGGACCCTATTGCCAAGCGTGGGGTTTTTGTGGTGAGGACTCCTTTAAAACCTTTGCTGGCTGACTGTCAGTTTCCTCTTTGTTGACTTGGTTTGCTAATGCGTTCACTGGTGCCAGAAATCTTGTCAAGGCCTAGCCTTTGAATACTAAGTCTGTTCTAAGGAACTGTGGGCCTGGGATTTCCAGTGGCCTGGCCCACTGTCAGGCTGGGTGGGCAAGGCTGGTCCCCATTACTCTCACACTCGTCACATACCAATAGGCGTGAAGTTTGGAGACGTTGGAGGTTGGAGTCATCATCACATCCCATTATCCCGCCTGCCGCATGGAAAGGCAAGTGGCCCTGGGATTGGGGTATCCCTAATTTCTCTGGCTTCTCTTAAATACCCCTGCTCCAAAAGCCAGCAAACCACAATTTATAAACTAGTAATTTAGTTCTAGAAAACGCAGGGAATATGGCTGCAAGATTCTCAAATATTTGAGTCTCTGGTTTCAGACTGACAGGGTTTCATACTTGTCCTGTTGTTTCCTGTTCATTTTTAAGGTGGCTGCCTAGAATTATAACCTCTCTCTCCTAACAACTTACTAAGTGTCTCAAAGACCAGTGAGTACATGCGAATTTCCTGACATTTTCCCCTAAGTACCCCAAAGCTCCAGCTCTCGGAGGACATAGTTGGAGCCTCCAGAGATGAAGGGGGGGCTCCTCCCCAGGCCCGCCAACCCCCTCAGTCCTGGGCCCTGCTTTCTCTCAGCTGAGCCCATGCTTTAGAGCCTGTAATTTGCAAATCTTCCCTCTCTTTGCTAGTTTTGGGGATAATTAAGTCTCTTTTGGGTGGGTGTATCAGATACACATTCTAGCAAGTTAAGCAATAATGACCTAATTGGTTGACAGGACAGTTGAGTATGTCACAGAATCCAAAGATGGGCATGTGACCGACATTTCAGGGGTGAACTAGAAACTGGGATTTAAAACAACATTAGGATGATCTCCGTCTTCTCTTTCTCTTCCAGATGTGCTTGCTTCACTTTTCTGTTTCTTTCTCTGCAGATCAGCTTCCTATTTCTCAAACAGATCCAAGTTTTACCTATTCTAGGTCCATACACTGTGTTATAAAACCATTCTTCCAGTTTCTCAGACCAACAACTTAACTACTTTTGTGTCTCACAATGGCTCATCAGGCAATCCTGGGAGCCTGACCTTCAGCACACATCCATTATTTGTTTGAGAAAGATAGCGAGAATGAGCAGGGGTAGAGGGAGAGGGAGAAGCAGGCCCCCACACCTCCCACCTCCTGCCAAGCAAGGAACCCAAAGCAGCACTCGATCCCAGGACCCCGGGACATGACCTAAGCCTAAGGCAGCCACTTAACCGACTGAGCCACCCAGGTGCCCCAATATACAACGATAATTAAACCACTCTCCCACCCACCCCACCCCCGACCAGCAGCTGTGACCTCTTGCCTAGATTCCTGCAGTAATTTAATTAGTCTTTCCGCTTTTATCTTGGACTCTCTGCTCTCTATTCTGAACACACCCGCCAAATGGTCCTGTCAAGAGCATGTAATTTCTCTGCTCAAAACTCCCCAGTTGCGGGCGCCTGGGTGCCTAGGTGGGTTAAGCCTCTGCCTTCGGCCCGGGTCATGATCCCAGAGTCCTGGGAATGAGCCCCGCAGCCAGCATCGGGCAGGGAGCCTGCTTCCCCCTCCCCGCCCTCTCTCTGCCTGGCTCTCTGCCTACTTGTGATCTCTGTCTGTCAAATAAATAAATAAAATCTTAAAAAAAAAAAAAACCAAAATACCCTCTCCAGTTGTTTCTCTTTTCATTCAGAATAAAGCCAAAGACCTTCTGAGGCCTTCCAGGGTCATGCTTCCACCCGTTATCTCTACGACTTTGTCTTCATTACCCTTGCCTTATTCACACTTCACTGGCCATCCTGCTGTTCCTTCCCATCACCAGCCTCCCTCTGGATTTCAGGGCCTTTGCACTTGCTCTGCCCGGAGTGTTCTTTCCCAGATACTTGCATGGCTCACTCTCTCACCTCCTTTGAATCTTCAAGTCACTGAATACTTTTTTGGTCAAGCCATCAAACTCCCACCCCACTGACATTTCCTATCTTCCTTCCCTTCTAAATTTTTTTTCCTCCAGAAAAAAAACCATCTGGTTTTCTTAGGATTTTTTTTTTATTCAAATCCAGTTTTATTAAAATTATTTGGCAATGTTAGTGGCAGTACAAAGTCTTTGACTAGGACCACTGGACACATTAGACGTGAATTTGTGTTTTTGGTTTGGCCTGGGTTTAGGGGCACAGGGACTTTCCTAAAATCTTCTGGCCTCCCTTTCATTACCTAACGGCAAAGTGCCTTGAGTTTCTCTGTCTACATATCCTGCTACTTTATGGACAGGAATTTGTCAAGTAAGAATGAAAAAATAAAATCCATAGATTCAAAAAATTCTCTGCAAATATTAAGAACATACAAAGAATATAAAAGACGCCTACATTTTATTCTTGTTTCATTTATTGTCTCTTTCCTCCTTTAGAATTTAAGCCCCTGAGGGACACCTGGGTGGCTCAGTCAGTTAAGCATCTGCCTTCAACTCTGGTCATGATCTCAGAGTCCTGGGATCAAGTTCTGCTCCCCCCTTGCTCAGTGGGGAATCTGCTCCTCCTTCTCCCTCTGACCCTCCCCTCTGCTTGTGCTCTCTCAATCTCTCTCTTTTTCTCTCTCTCAAATGAATAAATAAAAAATCTTAAAAAAAAAAAAAAAAAAAAAAGAGAACCCCTGAGAAATAGGATTGTGACCTTTAGTTCACTACTACATCCTCAGACCTAGAACAGTCAGTGCCTGGCACTCAATATTTTCTGATTGGATCAATATACACCAAGAGAAAGAATGATCTCCCTCTTTTCTTCCTTAAAACAAAATACTTGGAGACAACAGGAAATTGCTGGCAGCCTCAGGGATTTGTGAGGAGCCTGGAAGAGGAAGGGAACCCTACAGCAGCTTGAAGGGAGGCTGGAAGTAAGAAGCATCTCAGAGCTCAAGCCTGGCTCCATTGGAGCCTCAGGAGTACTCTTCCTGACCCTGTCCCCTTGGGGTCAAGCAGGACCCCTCCCCAGAAGCTGTCATTATTATGATTATATCTTCGACTTTATGACGTCTTCCCTGGTGCTTTCCATGTGTATCAATTACAAATAAGTCCAGAGACTTAAAGCAGCTTACTGAGTCTTTCAACAGGATCATATTAAGTTTAGAAAACACATTTTAAGAGCCAAATGTAACTTCAGAACATTTCAAGTGTTTTATTATAGTTCGTGGACACCATGAGAGAGATTCCTAGTCCACAGCAACTCTTCTTAAAATCCTCTTTGGATGGTGCCTGGGTGGCTCAGTGGGTTAAAGCCTCTGCCTTCGGCTCAGGTCATGATCTCAGGGTCCTGGGATCGAGCCCCGCATCAGGCTCTCTGCTCAGCAGGGAGCCTGCTTCCCCTCCCCGGCCCACCCCCGCCTGCCTCTGCTTACTTGTGATCTCTGTCTGTCAAATAAATAAATAAAATCTAAAAAAAAATAATAAAATTTCCTCTTTGGTACCCATCAGCTTCCCTCACCACCACTCCCACAGGCTTCTTTTGGATGCCCCAGAACTCCTCTCCCTGAGCCTTAGTTTGGGCTGGCTGCCCTTCTCTCTCATCACCTTTCTTCTGATCTCGATCCCCAAAGTCCAAAAGGTCTGGGAAGGAAAAGGAACAGAGCAAGTTGGCAGCATCAGTATATCAATAATGTTCTGTCCCAGCACTTATGTGGGACATATATTCGTGAGGCGAATGTTGTTCTGACCACCTTGTAGAGGAGGAAGCCAGCCCACCGAGGCTTGCCAGGAAGGTGGCGCAGGCCGGTCTCCACTGACACCCGTGTTCTATCCATTCTGCTGCGGTGGGCCAGAGTCAAGGGTACAGACCCCACATCTGCTTCAGCCAGCCATCTCCCGTGAGGAGCCGACTGCCTGTGTCCTGGGACCCACCAGCAGTCCTTGGCCCCCAGCAGAATGTCCACAAAGGATTTGAGGTAAACTGGACAAGCCAGACAACTCTCTGGGCTGGGTTTCTGTGGTAACAACACATCATTCAGCTTCTCTTCCCGATGCCTGAGTCCAGGGGAGGAGCAAGTGAGACTCATTTTCCCACAGTATACAAAATATGTATGTAAAATTTGTAATTGTTTGAACTGCATCTTCTCAGATTGTAAAATTTCAGTCACAATTCTATTTGTTTTCACAAAGTTGTTTGCTTATTAGGGTTCAGGTGTGAGAGAATCTATTATTTTTTCTTACTGCTTTCAGATAATCTACCTGCAAATATTTTGCTCACAGTCCACCCCTGGCCTGAAAGATAAGAAAATATTACTAGGTTTCAAGGAGACTGAGGAATCTTGAATTTCTATCTTCAGTCTTCCAAAATTCCAGGATGAGGGGCTCACGTTATGTAAAGTGTGACTTGACTTTTGGCTAGAATCAGATAGTCTCAATACTTCAGCCCTGGTGATCTTGCGCTGACTAGAAGCCCTCATTGTCAAAAACGTGTTTTCTCTTATTATAAATAATAGCTGTCATTTACTAGGTGCATTAACTTACTTAATCCTCACAAAATCCCTTGAGGCCAGTTTTACAGAGGGAAAAACAAAGGATCAGAGAAGCGAGGTAACTTGTTTAAGTAAACAGCATAGCGGGGATTCAAATGCTGTCCTGACTGACATTAAGCCTGAAATAAAATTGCAGTCTGTTGGAAAACTTCTCCACATGTGGCTCTAAAGGTGGGGACCAGCCGGAGAACAGGCTCTTGGTGGAAGCTCTGAGAGCTGACTCTGAGAGGAGCTGAGGACTTCCTGCACCCTGGTGGGGCCCTAGGGGGCAGAGTTGGCACTCTGGGCATCCTTCCCAAAAGCCTTTGCAGCATCCTAGCTTGAGGAGCATTTCCCTGAGTGGAGTTAGGACAAGATGCCTCAGCCCTGGTGAGTGCCCCTGGAGGGGGCGGCCAGACACTCCTGGCCCCTGGGCCCTCACCTGTCTCTGTAACCGGACCTGGGGGAGGGAGCCCCAGGTTGGCTATGAGAGGTGCTGCTGTTGGGTGGGAGGCCTAGGAGAAGGGTCTCTGGTATGGAGCTGAGGCTCCCAGAGGAGCTGCTGTTCTACCCTTTCTTCCTTCTGTTCCTGCTCTCCCATCCTCCCCTTCCTGTCCCCCACCCCCACCTGTCCTGGTTGTATGCCTCCCCCTGAGCTTCTGTGTCTCTCTGCCTCCTTCAGTAGTTCCGTGCCTCCCTCCTCCTCACGGCCTAGTGTCACAGCAAAACTCATCAATGGAGGTGTGGCAGGGCTTGTTGGGGTCACCTGTGTGTTCCCCATCGACTTGGCCAAGACTAGGCTGCAGAACCAGCATGGAAAAGACATCTACAAAGGAATGTAGGTATTGGTGAGGGGAACGGAGTGAGTAGGGAGAGTGGGACTCCCGGGGAGGGATATGGGGACTCATTCCTTCCAGTCTCTTTATTTAGGGAGTTGCGTGCATTGTGGGGTGGAGTGGGGTGGGAGATGTGCCCAGCAGGATTAGGGCACCTTATTAGGGGAAGGGGGGCTGACGGAGCAGCGTCAAGCTCTCCGCTGACTTCCTTTTCTGGCTTCTGCTTCTAGGATAGACTGCCTGATGAAAACTGCCAGGGCAGACGGCTTCTTGGGGATGTACCGAGGTGGGCTTATCATGCACCCCTGGGGGAGGCCTGGCTTGGGCCAAATGAGAACAGAGTGCACAGCCCAGGGCACCAGACCCTGTGGCTTTAGAGAACATTTCTGCGCAGCGAGCTCCGGAGGGTGGCGGGGTGGGGGTAGGGGTGGCCTGGGTTGCCAGGTGATCCTAAGCCACATTTGCTTTTCACACATGTTCCTTGGTGGAGACAGAGGCAGTTATGGTGGGGGGGGGGGGGGGGGGGGGGGGGTACCAGTGAGCACACTGAGGACCCTAGGAGCCCTGGTTTCCATCCAGGCACCACTGCTGTCTCACTGTGTGATGCTGGAAGCAAGTGGTCTCCCCGACCCCTCCACCCCCGTTCAGGGCTGTCAGGGCATCAGCTACTGAAAGCAGAAGGGGAAAAGGCTGATGGGGAAGAGACGGAAAGGATTTTGAGTTCCTGATAGGGTGTTACTGGGTACCTTTTCCCTGATACAAGCTCTTGCTATCCCTGTCCGCTGCAGTGACCCTACCCAGGGCCGTATCACCATGATTAGGGCTTGGAAAATGGATACAAATTTGGAGTTAAGAAGGAGTTGATATTGTAGTACCCCTGAGAAATAAAATAAAAACTGATGTGACTCAACAAAACTGCCAGTGGGACTGGGCTAGTAAAGCACACTTTATGGAAAGTGATCCCTGTCCCCTAGAACCTTATTACTGGGGCTTGATTTGGGGAGCTGTTCATTTATCATCGAGATGCGCAGCACTCTCAAGGATGAAAACGACTTCCTAATAACTGCACCAATGAGCCCATAAAGGAAACACATGTATCCAAAAGGGAAATGTGGAGGGAAGAGGGTCAAAGTCAGGAGATGAAAAAAACTTTCATGTTTCTATAAAATAGACAGAGGAACCCTCTTCTACATCCTCCCCAACAAAACCCCAATTGTTCCCAGAAACCTGCCTGGCTAGGTGTGATAGTAGGTTGTCTATATGAGTGAAAGACTCAGAGGATTGTGACTTTTTTTTTTAAGTAATTTATTTTTAAGTAATCTCTACACCCAACATGGGTCTCGAACTCACAACCCTGAGATCAAGCATTGCATGCTCCACTGACTGCACCAGCCAGGAGCCCCAAGAAGTCTTCCCTTGGAGATGGCCTTAGCTTGTCCTCATTTTTACTTCCAGGAGCTGCAGTGAACTTAACCTTGGTCACTCCAGAGAAGGCCATCAAGCTGGCTGCCAATGACTTCTTCCGGCAGCTGCTAATGGAGGATGGGTATGGCCGGGTGGGGGGCTGTGGGGTGGAAATCCTTCACTGCATGTTTATAGTATGGGGGGACGGTAACGGAAAGGAACGTATCGGTTATCTGTCTGCATGATGCGAGTACGTGCACACAAATGGCGGAAATTTAGTGTATGTTTTGCCAAGTGGGAAAATTAAAGGAGGGCTTGCCTGGATGGTTCAGTCAGTTCAGTTAGCTGAAGCGTCTGCCTTCAGCTCAGGTCATGATCCCAGGGTCCTGGGATCAAGCCCCACATCGGACTCCCTGCTCCATAATTCCTCTGCTTCTGCCTGCTGTTCCCCTGTGTGTGTTCTCTTTCTCTCTCTCTCTCTCAAGTAAATAAATAAAATCTTAAAAAAAAAAAAAAGGAAAGTGAAAGGAGAAAATGAGCTGGTGTAATTCGAAAGTTCTAGACGATAGACCATTATAGACTATACATATATTCATCAGCTAGTTGATGAACATTTTTTCCATTTTTATTGAGCTATACTGCAGTACAACTCTGTAAGTTTGCACCCTGTACACTGTATAATCATACACTACATTATAATGTGTATACATTAAATACACTGTATAATGATTTGATAGACATATACTGTGAAATGTTGACTACAGTAAGTTTGGTTAACATCCATTACTTCCTATGGTTACCCAAAAAAGTTGTTTTTTTCCCTTAAGATGAGAACTTTTAGGATCTGTCCCTTAGCCGCTGTCAAGCACACTGTAGGGTGGGTTAACCACAGTCGTCTTGCTGCGTCATTCCTGTACTTCTTAGCTCTTAACTGCAAGTTTGTGCCTATGGAACACCTTCATCTTCCTGTCCTCTGATAGCCACAAATTGGATTTCTGAGTTTGAATTTTTAAGTATTTATTTATTTGAAAGAGAGAGAGAGAGCAAGTGGGGAGAGGGACTGAGGGATGACAAGCAGCCTCCCTGCTGAGCAGGGAGCCCAATGTGGGGCTTGATCCCAGGACCCTGAGGACATGACCAAGCCAAAGTCAGAGGCTCAACCAACTTTTTTTTAGATTCTGCATGTCAGAGAGACCCCTCAGTATTTGTTTTTCTGTGTCTGACTTATTTCATTTAGCATAATGCCCTTGAAGTCCATCCATGTCTCAGATGGCAACTTTGCCTTCTTTTTTATGGCTGAATAATACTGTATTGTATATACACTGCATTTTCTGTATCCATCTGTCCACAAACACACAGGTTTTTTTCAAATCTTGGCTGTTGTGAACGGTAGTGCAGCGGACGTGGTAGTGCAGCTAGCTCGCCAACGCAGTGACTCATAGTGATGCATCTACCCGCCGGATGTATACCCAGAAATGGAATCACTGAGAGATTCTGTTTGTAATTTTTTGAGGAACCACCATACTGTTTCCCACAGTGGCTCTACCAGCTTGCATTCCCACTGACAGTGCACAGGCTTCCCCCTATGCCATATCATTGCCAGCAGTTATCATTTTTTTTTTTTTTTTTTAAGCCCTGGTCCAGTATTTTAAAAAAAGGCAGCGGGGCACCTGGGTGGCTCAGATGGTTAAGCGTCTGCCTTTGGCTCGGGTCATGATCTCCAGATCCTGGGATCGAGCCCCGCATCGGGCTCCCTCCCTGCTCAGCAGAGAGTCTGCTTCTCCCTCTCCCTCTGCCTCTTCCACTGCTTGTGCTTTCTGTCTCTGTCTCTGTCTCTCTCTCAAATGAATAAATAAAATCTTAAAATTAATTAATTAATTCAGTCAGTCAGTCAGTCAGTCAGTCAGTCCTGGCCCTCCCAGGGTACCTGGGTGGTTCAGCTAAGTGTCTGCCTCCAGCTCAGGTCATGATTCCCAGGTTCTGGGATTGAGTCCCAAGTCAAGCTTCCTGCTGGGCAGGGAATCTGCTTCTCCCTCTGCCCTTTCCCCTGGCTTGTGCTCTCTTTCTCTCTCAAATGAATAAATAAAAACCTTAAAAAAAAAAAATTCCTGGGCCAGATGGCTTCCCAGGGGAATTCTACCAGACATTTATTTTTTTAAAGATGTTATTTATTTGAGAGAGTGAAAGCGAAAGATCACAGAGGCACCCAGGCGCCCCTGACTTTTTTTTTAAGATGTGTTTATTTATTTGAGAGAGAGACACAGCAGTGTGTAGGGGAAAGACAGAGAGGGAAAGAGATACTCTTCAGCAGACTCCCAAGTGACCTTGAGATCATGACCTGATCGGAAATCAAGAATCAGGTACTTCACCGACTGCACCACCCAGGTGCCCCTTATCATGTCTTTTTGATGTTAGCTATTCTAACAGGTGTGAGGTGATACCTCATTGTGGTTTTGATGTGCATTTCCCTAACGATTGGTGATGCTGAGCATCTTTTTATATACCTGTTGGACATTTGAATATTTTTCTATTTTTTAACTGAATTATTATTTTTTTATTATCGAGTTGCATGAGTTCTTTATAAATTTGGATATTATCCCCCTGTCCGATATGTGATGTACAAGTTTTTTTTTCCCATTCCATAGGCTGTCTTTTCATTTTGTTGATGGTTTCCTTCCCTCTGCATGAGCTTTCAAGGGTTGAAGTGGCTGCGCTTGTCTATTTTTGTTCGTGTTCTGTGCTTTAGGTCACCCACATTAATGAGCTTTCCCCTGTGTTTTCTTCTAGGAGTTTTATGATTTCAGGTCTTACATAAGTCTTTAATTCATTTTGAGTTAATTTTGGTGAGTGGTGTAAGAGAGAGGTCCAGTTTCATTCTTTTACGTGAGAATATCTGATTTTTGTCAACACAACCTATTGAGAATGTGATTTCTCCACGGAGTAGTCTCAGCTCCCTTGGCCACTGGATATGCAAGACTGTATTTCTGGGTTTTCAGTTCTTTATATTATTTTATTTATTCATTTGATAGACAGAGATCACAAGTAGGCAGAGAGGCAGGCAGAGAGAGAGGAGGAAGCAGGCTCCCTGCCGAGCAGAGAGCCCGATGCAGGACTCAATCCCAAAACCCTAGGATCATGACCTGAGCCGAAGGCAGAGGCTTTAACACACTGAGCCACCCAGGCGCCCCTGGGTTTTCAGTTCTGTTCCATTGATCTATGTGTCTGTTATTATGCTGATGAATTTTTAAAAATGAACCCCCGGGGCCTGGGTGGCTCAGTGGGTTAAAGCCTCTGCCCTCAGCTCAGGTCATGGTCCTAAGGTCCTGGGATGGAGCCCTGCGTCAGGCTCTCTGCTCGGCTGGGAGCCTGCTTCCCCCTCTCTCTCTGCCTGCCTCTCAGCCTGCTTGTGATCTCTGTCCGTCAAATGAATAAATTAAAAAAAAATTTATTTTTAAATCTTTAAAAATGAACCCCCCAAACACTTTCTAGTACTATCTGTGCCTCCCACTACCCTGATGATATTGCTTCAGGGACTGGGGACAATCACATCCATGCAATGGGTAGTTTCAGTGCACTTATTTTAACCTCTGTGCAGGTGCTACCTCCCTGGCAGCCCATTTTAAATTTAGTTTCATGTTTTAAGGAGACTGTGTTCGAGGGCCATGTGATGATTTACCCAGCTGGGTGAGTGGCAGCTGATCAGAACAAGGCTGAGTACCACGCACGGAAAGTCTCCTCTACGAAGGGTCTTGGGCAGATGGGCCAGGATGGGTGGCCGGGCTGGCCTGTCACTGAAGGAGCCCGACTCATGGTCCCACAGGATGCAGCGGAATCTGAAGATGGAGATGCTAGCTGGATGCGGAGCTGGAATATGCCAGGCGGTAGTTACCTGTCCCATGGAAATGCTCAAGATTCAGCTGCAGGATGCTGGACGCTTGGGTGAGGCCTATCCTGATTCCACATGGGATTAGCAAAGGGCTGTGATCAGAATAGATTTCCCCACATTCTGCACTCATTGGATAGACTGTGTGATTCAATCAGCTTTCCAGGTCAATAGAAGTCTTTTTTTTTTTTTTTTTAAGATTTTAAAATTTTTTTAAGTAACGTGGGGCTCAAACTCATAACACTGAGATCATCAAGAGTCACGTGCTCTACTGACTGACCTGCCCAGGTGCCCCTAGAAGTCTTTAGTTAATGGCTACCATTCAAGATTTCAACACTTCTAATTCTGAAGATTTTATTTATTTATCTGACAGAGACCACAAGTAGGCAGAGAGGCAAAGAGAGAGGGGGAAGCAGGCTCCCCGCTGAGCAGAGAGCCCGATGCGGGACTCGATCCCAGGACCCTGAGATCATGACCTGAGTCGAAGGCAGAGGCTTAACCCACTGAGCCACCCAGGCACCCCTCAACACTTCTAATTCTAAAACAAACAGTAGAACTGAGAAACTTGGTTCAGAAGGTAACCTAATACCTCTTATCAGATCACCATGACCTTTAGGCTTGACTTCCTAAAGATTTTAAGAAGGATCCACAGCCTGATCACAAACACTTCAGTCAGTAGACCTCATGTTCTGCTCTATTATGCTATAGAAGCTGGTCTTTGGTGGGAAGGCCTCATAAGGAACAAGAGAACCATTCCTATTCTTTTGTTTTCTTGGAAGTGAATTTTGTCCCTTTCCAAGATCCTGGTCCTCTCAAAAATACCAAGTGGTGTAAGTAAGTACCAAAGCATAGATTAAGAACCAGGGTTCGCTGTCCAGCGGAGGAAAGGCCATGCACAGTGGGGCGGGACGGAGGGCTTCTCCTCCGGGTGAACCGCCGTGCCTGCATTAAAGAAGGGGGCACGTAAGCTGCCCAGCCTAGCACCTGGTAAGGCCCTCAATAAATGTGGGTGCTCTTCCCCTCCTCAAACCCACTGTGCGCACATGCTGTGCTGGATCCAACCAGCTTTCTAGGTTGGAGCAGACTAGCCTAAAGCTCATGAAACTGCAGCAAGAATAAAGTTTGGGCGCTGGAAAGCCCGTGTTTTGATCTACAAAGAGTAAAAGCTCTGAAACTCTCAGTTTTCAACTTGGATGAGAGGGTCAGTTTTCCAAACCACTTCAAGAGAAGGACAGGCTAGGAGTGAACGGACAACAGGCAACATCGGGCTCACCGATGGACCTCCTCCTTCACGCTCCTTGTCTGAGACTGTGCCCAGCTCGCTGCCCCAGGAGCAGATGTGCAGTCAGTGGTGCCTCAGTGTGAGGTGTCACCTGCTGGCCGTCCGACGAAACTGGGGCTGGAAACCGCTTCCTTGGAGCAAGGGTGCAGCGTCTAGACAAAGCTGCTCCGACGGGAGAATTAAGAAAACGAACAGTCGCACAATTTCAGCGCATTGAATCCTGTGGTCACGGGTGGGACTCACCCACGGTTGAAATGCTGTACTTGCAATGCTCGGGAGAAAACCATTTCCCTTTTATTTCTTAGAGGTTGAACTCATCCAGTTATGGGCTCTGAATTATTCAACTAAAACAAAGAATCACATTCTATAAAATGGCGAAGGGTGTAAAGGCCGTGTTCACCTGATCTTGGACTACTCAAGGGGGGAGGCACCTCTGGAGGCCTGAGGGAGATAGATTTTGGACAAAAAGAATTTGCTGCTTTACACATGAGGCAGAAGGAAGTGGGACTCTGAGGCCCCAAAGCGCCAGCGGGATGATACTATGTAAATAGGCTCAGAGATGGTTTAGAAATGGAAGCCAGATCTAAAGCACAGCTTTGGCAGGAGGATAAGGAATTGGGGCTGGAGCAGGTGCTGCTCTAACTCCCTACGGAGGAGGCTGGGCGGGCCGTGGCTCTTGGGAAGTGCCCTGTGCAGCGGGGACAACGCAGGAGATGACACCGATCTTAGAAAGATTTCCTTGGAGCCAAAAAATGAATGTTCTAAAATGAAGGTAATCCAGGGCATCTGTCTTGGTGGTGGAGTGTGCGACTCTCGACCTCAGGGTCACGAGCTCGAGCCTCACGTTAGATGTAGATATTTTCATTAAAAATAAAATCTTAAAATAAAATCAGACTATCCTCAGAACTCCAGTAGGGATGTGAGCCTCACCTCTGAGCTGTCCCAGGGTGAGGAGGCAGGAGGTACACTCCCTGCTGGGGCCTGGTTTGTGATGGGGTCTGTCCTCTCCCTTTCAGCAGCTCATCGTCAGGGCTCGGCCTCAGCCCCTTCCTCCTCCAGGTCCTATAGTACGGGTTCGGCTTCCACCCACAAGCGCCCGTCCGCCACCCTTATCGCCTGGGAGCTACTCCGCACCCAGGGCCTGGCTGGTCTCTACAAGGGTCTGGGTGCCACTCTCCTCAGGTGAGGCTTTCTTCCTGAACTTGGGACGCAGAAGGGATCTGGGGAGGTGGGAGAGGGTATGGAAGGCCAGCGGTATCGCAGCCCCAATCTGTCGCTGCATTCTTCCTGGAAATTCAATGCCCAGAGAGCAAACTACCTCCAGGCTTCCTATTTGGAAGCCTGGAGGTAGTTTGCTGAGAACTGAGCAGAATTGCACAGGATGGGCGCCTGGAAGACTAGTTTGAGGCCCCTTCTCCAGTAACCAGACCGCACGAGTAGGAGACGTTCTGTGGCCCACAAGCACCTAAGAAATGTCCTATGGACAAAGGACTTCGGATCGTTAATAAGTAAATGGGCAGAGACCCCTCATTTTACCTTGCTAGTTGACCAAAATCCTTGAGTTGATCAGAAGTGTGCCAGGAAAAGGGCTAGTTTTCTCCTACCACTGGGCAACAGATAAATGAACTTCACCTTCCTGCCCACCCCACCCCCTTAACACGTAGCTTACAGAGCCCCTCACCAACCACTCTCTCGCAAGCTCACGCTTACCTCAGCCTGTCCACGCATTCTCCCAGAGCGTGGTCCCGGTCCCTGTATCTGCGGCCCTGTCCTTGGCGGAGCCCTGCAGGTGCTGGGAGGGCAGAGTGATGTGCTGGGAGGATGGGGCAGGCAGGCTGACCCATCGTTCCCCTTCCACCCTCTATCGCTCCACATTATCACGGGGGCCAGGGAAGGAAGAGGTAACTGTGGGCTTGTCTCTGACCGTCGGCTGGGCCCTGGGCTTAGGGAAAGGCTTCCTGCCTGAGCAGCTGGCAGCTTACCGCTCTTGCTCTCCGGCAGAGACATCCCCTTCTCCATCATCTACTTTCCACTGTTCGCCAACCTTAACAACCTCGGGTTCAATGAGAGCACGGGGAAGGCTTCCTTCGCGCATTCCTTCGTGTCAGGCTGTGTTGCAGGTTCGGTAGCCGCCGTCACAGTAACACCTCTGGACGGTAAGTGCGTTGGAGATGGGGGTCTTCAAGGGCTGCCCCACTTTACAAGTTAGACAGCCGCACATTCATCTAGAGGATAAGTAGTCAGCTACTTTTCGTATATAAACAGCTCCAACCTGAGAACTCTTGGATCACAACCTATGGCCACCAGCAGAAACTCAGCAAGGGTCTCCCCGGATAAAGTGGAGCCAAGGAGACCTTCACTCCCTTATCCCTGACAAACGCACTCACCTTCTAGGTGCTGATTTCATCAGCTTTTCATCCCCCAGTCAAGTTTTCAAAGCGGAGTCTAAAGACAGGAGTTTAACAGTGTCAGACCATGCTTCTCCTATCTTCAGGGCTACTCCCGGCTACTCTCACACACAGCTGGACCTTTCTATAGTATGAGTAACCTGAAGGATCGTGTCATTCTAATTATTTTATTTCACAAATGAGGCCCAAAGAGCGGAGGATCTTCTACTACAGATCACACAATGGCAGCATTGGCCTTAGGATTCAGTATTGTGTATGCTGGCTCTAAATGGGAAACCGCTTCATGTTGGCAGGAGGGGGCCAAAAGACAAACGTTCACTACTTATTTTCACCTTTAGTTTTGAAAACGCGAATCCAAACCCTCAAAAAAGGCCTGGGCGAGGACAGCTACAGCGGGATCACTGACTGCGCCAGGTGAGAAGGCTGCAGCCCTGCAGAGGCTGGGGCTGGGATGGTCCCCCTGCCTTGCGGTCTACCTACACCCCACCTAGAGGGCAATTTCATCACTGTAGTAGGCTGAGCTCTGGCTTTGATACGTGTTCCTCCCCTTCACCTCTCAACAAAATAGAACGTACTGGGAGCATTCTCCTCCTTCGCACTACAACATTTCTCCCAGAGTCTAGTCAGACTGAGCCGATTTCCCATGGCCCGGACCCAGCTTCTCAGTAACCCAACTGTGCTCACATGGTGGCTGGGACCAGGCTGCTACACCCAGGGGAGCCCGCTGTGGAAAATGACACCTACTCTCCAGGGGAAGATGTACAAACATCAGAGGGGGGCCATTCGCAGTGCACACCTGCCAATCAGCTCACAGGGCTCTTCTCTCTCTGCAGGAAACTCTGGATTCAGGAGGGACCATCTGCCCTCATGAAGGGAGCAGGCTGCCGGGCCCTTGTCATAGCCCCTCTCTTTGGGATTGCCCAAGGGGTCTACTTCATTGGTATTGGGGAGCGGATCTTAAAGTGTTTCGAGTAGAGATAGCTGGAGCCCAAGTCCCCTGCCATCTCTCTAGCCCATTCAACTTCAGCTAGATGGGGACGAGCAAGATGGACCATCCAGGTTGTATTTTGTCCTCTAACTTGTAGTGCTACCTCAATCTCCGAAGAAACACTCTTATTCTAATAAGCAAGCTAGGTACGGTCCCTTTCTCCCCTCACATCTGCCTTCTTTTCTTTGGGGCTACAACTACCAGCAAGCTCCAGGAGCCCCTAACCACCTACTTTTCAACAAGAGAAACAGGACTTGTGTGGGTTGGATTAACTGCAGACCCTTAACACATAATAAAGATAGGAGGGTCCTTTCTACATTTTCCTTTTCTACTTCACACTCAAACTCCATACACTTGAGTCAGTTTGAGGATTTAGTGTTAATTCTGAATTAAATAACTTATGGTTAGTTCTAGCACTGATTTTGGGAAAGGGGAGGATCAGAAGTTCAAGGGAACCATGAAAGCCCTCAAAGTCAGCACAGAGTTGGAAACCAAGCGGATCTTTTCAAATCGTGATGGCTGCAGGATTAGGCTGACTAACCAAGCCACAGGGGCCAAGGCAGGGCAGCTGCCCCACCCTCACCCCCACCCTGGCAGGTCCTCCCTCCAGGGCACAGTTCTCCCACCCTCTCCATGGAACATGGTTTTAAATAAAATGGATTCAGATCTCAACTTGTCAATAGTGGGAGAAGCAGACGGGCTGCAGTGAATGGCTTGCCCTCTATTGTCCCTGTCCATTTCAGAAGTGGGCTACATCCCAATGAGTACTACAGCAGTCCCTCTACGGGCTCTTCAGATGACTGCTTCCGAGGCTGAGGGAGAGCAGCTGGGACACACTGAGTTTTCAGTCTTGATTCCATCACTGCATAACTGCATCGCCTTGCGGAACGGGTTCGCTGTGACAGTCCCCATGTGCCTTAATTCTTTCCCCAGAGGGCTGCTGCGGAGAGATGCCGGCAACACGCAGGCTTCAGGTCTCAGTAAACAATGCCTGTGCCAGGAGTTGGCACTTATGTTAGTCCCCACCTCGTCTCAAAAATCACTGACATTAATGAAAAATGATCAGGCTCAGTAGCCGAATTCTCTACTGGGAGGACCATGCGCGAATGCGGACTGCAGAAACAGACCCGTTAGACCCCCACCTCTACCCCACTGCAAGGCCCCGGGCAGTTCTTAGTGGTCATGGGGGGAAACCGGAGGAGGAGAGAAAGAAAAGGACCTTTGTGAAAGAGTTTAGGACTGAAACACAGTAACCTTTCTCCCCCAGTAAGCCCACAGATGCTTTTCCGACTCTGCCAAAGCCAATAAAACAATTTCCTCAATAAAGCTGTCAAACCCTCCAGAGGACAGGTAATAGTGAACACCTGTGTGTGTGGTGCGTCTGAAAGATTTTAAATGGCTGGAAGGAATGCTTCTGGATAAGAGTCTGGTAAAAATGAGCAGGAAGTGCCAGAGGACAGAGAGAGTTAACGGTTTCAAGTAGTGACAACTGTCAACCAGCAACTTTAGAGATTAGGAGAATGCTTCCTTTCCAGATACTTTGGGAAGAACTTTTCCCTCGCAAATCATAAAACTTGTAGCACCTTGCATAATGAGTCACAATGAAATCCATGTAAACATTTTGTTTTAATAAATAAGACCTACTCATGGCTTAGATTTTAAATCACATTTACAGATGAGGAGCACCTCTAGGCCCAAACAGATTAACAGTGAAACTACTATTGCGAGGATTGCATGCTCCCCACGCATCTGCAGCCTAAACAGCAGAGACCAAATGTCAGAAAACACCACACACCTCACCCTCTAGGCTCGAGAACTGACAGCAGAAGATGAGAGAAGAGCAGAGACTCGGTGAAGCTCCAGTAACCACCATCTGATACCCTCACCTTCATGCTACAAAAGCAAATGAAAGTCATGCTTTTAGATAAGCTAAGGAGGAGGTTTCCTGATCATAGTAAGTGAAACTTTCTCTCATGTTAACAATTAGGCCAAGGGCATTAGCTACAGAGAAGATCCACTGATAAATACAGAATATTAGAAGAACGAAGAGGAAGCCACACAGATATCTTGTTTCTTCAAACATCAGAAACTTCCACATGACAGGAAAGCAGTGGATGAACTCCACCTTGACAGAAGGTTTAGTCCAAAAACTTCCTGTTGGCATTTGCACCAAATAAGGCGCCCCGTACTTCTGGCATCATCTGTGAAGAAAGAAGATCTTTAGTAAGTAAATGCTGTCAACTGGAATATTTGGAAAGCACGGCACTTTTTTTTTTTTTAAGATTTTACTTATTTAGTTTAGAGTGTGTGTGTATGTGGGTAGGGGGAGGGGCAGAGAGAGGAGAGAGAGAGAATCTCAAGCAAACTCCCCACTGAACAGCTGAATCCCACCACCCTGAGATCATGACCTGAGCCGAAGTCACGAGTCAGACACTTAACCCACTGAGCCACCCAGGTGGCCCAAAGAGGCACATCTTAACTGCAAGTGGCAGGTCAGCAACCCCTACGTGGCTGGGAAGGAGACCACAAAGCTAAGCAGCAAGTCTGTACCTTTCTTCAGAACCCTTGGTGGGAAACTTACCCCGGTCACAAATTTGTGATTATGACTGACTGACTGCTTAAAGGGGACAAAGAAAAAAAACTAAAGGCATTATTGTTCAAGGCTTCTGTTAGCTGTGCTGCAGGGGGAAGAGATGATCCCTTAACAGTATTACCTCATAATATTCTGGATCATCTACTTTCTTTCAGCAAACAGTCACTGAGTGCCAGGCAGAAAACACATAATGCAAGTTTGTGCTGAGGCACTCATTCTTTACAGCAACTGAACAATCCTTAGGATTTAATCTCAAACTTCACAGGCTGTGCTGTCCAAATAGAGACCACTAGCCACGTGTGGTTACTGTGCATCTGAATTGTGCCTAGTGCAACCATGGGACTCAGTTTTTAATTTTACTTAATTTTACTTCATTCATGTGTGGATAGCAGCTACTCTAATGGTGAATACAGCTTTAGGGCTTAAGTTATCAGAAGATGATACTCAAGGTCAAAGTGCTCTCCTCTAAGACGAGCTAGCAGCCACAGCAGCAGACTACCGCTGCTGAAAAGAGGCCCAGCATTCTGAGGCACCTGAATTCTTACTCCCTAGAGATTATCTGTACCAACCTGGAAATACCTGAAGAGCCAGCAGCCCTCTGGCAAGTCCTTTAAACAACATTTACTTTAGTTTCTGCCATTCTTACTGGAGAAAGGACCCCGGGCAGCAGTAAAATGTGTACAGCAGAATCCTAAATAAACAAAACCCTCATTCAACCCCAAATCCATTCTCATGTAAATGGTGTCACCTTAGTAAATGTCACCTGCCTACTGCCCATTCAAGAAAATGCCACAAAATGTAGAAAGAATGACAAATCCCAAATGCGCATTATGTTCTCTGCATCACTTCAAAGTAACAACAGACCAACTAATAAGATGTATTCCCACACTCACCTGCTGGGCTATGAGATCCAGCCGGCTTTCTAGAGTATTGGAAACTTTTATTTTACGATCCCCATTATAGATCTCAACTCCACCAGCTCTACAAAGAACACAGGAGGTAACAATTTTATAGATTTGAGGAAAACAGACACATGGTACATTTACTTTCTTTCCTGAGAAGAAAGGTGTTTTGTTGCATGGAGTGTGTCTAAATACTGTAAGGGACCAATAGACACATGCAAAGAGCTTAAAATTAATGCAGAAAGCTTCTGAGGATTTAAGGTACGGAGGTTGATAATAACGGTCATTTACCAAGTGACTGCTATGTGCCAATCTGATTCTATGTTCTAGTGACCTAAGTTAATTCTAACAGCCCTCCCCAACAAAATGAAATGGGGAAGGATTTTGTCTGGGGAAGGATTTTGTCTCAGCTTGCAAATCAATCGCATCCTCATCTGAATATTTCCTAAAACCCAATCCTGCTAATTACCAGGGGTACTGATAAGGCCATATTCTAACTGTACTGTGTATCAGATGAAAGGTACCACTGTAATCTTGCGCCAAACTGGCCCTTAGGGAGTCCTGCCTCTCGCCACACCTCACTTCTGTTGTTCCTTTCTCCAAAGTTTCTAGCACTTAGAGGCTTAAGGCAGATAAGTCAAATTCTATTACAAGGAGTCCCCAGGGAATGAAATTCTTTCGTACATTAGAATTTTGTCAAATATTTTTCTTCTTCCTTTTTTTTTTTTTTAAAAAAAAAAGACATGGGTTTTTTTTTTGTTTTTTGTCTTTGGCATTTTTTTTTTTTTTTTTAGATTTTTATTTATTTATTTGACAGACAGATCACAAGCAGGCAGAGAGGCAGGCAGAGAAAGAGAGGAGGAGGAGGCAGGCTCCCGGCCGAGCAGAGAGCCCGATACGGGACTCGATCCCAGGACCCTGAGATCATGACCTGAGCCGAAGGCAGAGGCTTTAACCACTGAGCCACCCAGGTGCCCCTGGTGTTGTTTTTTATTTTTTTTTTTTAAAGATTGTATTTATTTATTTGACAGAGAGATCACAAGCAAGCAGAGAGGAAGGCAGAGAGACAGGAGGAAGCAGGCTCCCTGCTGAGCAGAGAGCCCCATGCGGGGCTCGATCCCAGGACTCCGAGATCATGACCCAAGCCGAAGGCAGCGGCTTAACCCACTGAGCCACCCAGGCGCCCCTGGTGTTGTTTTTTAAATAAAGATTTTATTTAGGGTGCCTGGGTGGCTCAGTCAGTTAACCCGCTGCCTTTGGCTCAGGTCATGATCCCAGAGTCCTGGGATCAAGGCCCACATCAGGCTCCCTGCTCAGCTGGGAGCCTGCTTCTCCCTCTGCCTGCCACTCCCCGTTTGTACTCTCTCTCTAGCAACTAAGTAAATAAAATCTTTTTCTTTTTCTTTTTTTTTTTTTTTTTAAGATTTTGTTTATTTGACAGAAAGAGCACAAGGAGGGGAGAGGGAGAAGCAGGTTCCTTCCTGAGCGGAAGGCAGGTGTTCAAATGACCGTGCCACCCAGGTGTCCCCAGATATTTCTTGAAATAAACAGGTTATGTGACAAAGACTGGGAAAAGGTTTGGCAAATTGTCTTCGGAAAACTTTAATGGACAATGAAGTTAATACTATATTCTTACTCTCTACTTCCTCCCCCTGGCATTTCTTTGTTTCATCTGTCTTCCGTTTCTCTAAACAGACTATATCCTTCATAAGGACGTTGTTGGCTCTGATGAAATCCTGACCCCACTGTTCATGCCACAATTCTTTGTTCTCATGGAGGGCGCGAGGGCAGAAAAGACCACCACTGTGGGAGAATGTCGCCTGAGGGCCAGGCACTCACTGAGTGTAAAGCCCAGGGCTGCCCATGACTTCTATCTTCCCAGTAACCCTAGGAGTCTTGGTCGGTATCCTTGTTATTTGACAAACAAGAAAACATGTTTAAATAGACTGAATAAAACAACAATATTTAAAATTCTACTTTAAATGAGCACTGGAATCAGCTCACCATTCCTTCTCTACAATTCTGAAATTCAATAAGCTAGCAGAACTAAAGTCTAATTTGTGTTTCTCCAAAAGCTAGATGACCTCTAGTCTTCCGGCAGCAAATGACTAGCAAATCTTTAGGTACTTATCCCTTGCAGTGTGAGTGTTCCCATTTAGAAATATTAGCATATTTGATCACAGGGTGTGTGGGGGATGACGCCTCAGACCTTGCTGGGGATATGATGGCACATGTGGTGTATGTTCTTTATTGCCTTTTTTTTTTTTTTTTTTTTAAGATTTTATTTATTTGTCAGAGATGGAGAGAGAGCGAGCAAGCACAGGCAGACAGAGAGGCAGGCAGAGGCAGAGGGAGAAGCAGGCTCCCTCTCAAGGAGCTCGATGTGGGACTCGATCCCAGGACTCTGGGATCATAACCTGAGCTGAAGGCAGCCACTTAACCAACTGAGCCACCCAGGCGTCCCTCTTTATTGCTTTTCTAAACACTGGGATTCAAAACATCTGGCCCCAAAGATTTCAGGACGGAAACGCATTCATTACCAGACAGACCCTGAACTAAGTGCTTTCTGTCCCATCTGCCTGATCATCACAACAATGATTATCTGACAGCTCAATAAAGATGTATATTGCGGGTACCAGGCACCGTGTTAAATGCTGTATAGACAGGACCTCATTTAAGCTTCTAAGAATTCTGTGAGGCAGGTGCTAGTCTCCCAATTTAGAGGCCCGGAAATCAAGGTTCTCTAAGATTTAATACTGAAGCTTTCTACACTAACTTATCTAACTTCTTAGTTTATAAAGCTTTTTTTTTTTTTCAAGATTTTATTTACTTGACAGAGAGAGACGCAGAGAGAGAGGGAACACAAGCAAGGGGAGTGGGAGAGAGAGAAGCAGGCTTCCCGCTGAGCAGGGAGCAAGATGCCTGGCTCAATCCTAGGACCCTGGAACCATGACCTGAGCCGAAGGCAGCTGCTTTAAGACTGATCCACCCCGGCCCCCTATAAAACATTTTAACATGTACAATCTCCTCTCTTTTCCTCACTTCATGAAACAAAAAAGTACCATTTCCATTTAACAAATGATGGAATTCAGTCTCCAGATCCCATAGCTCACAAAAGGCCAACTCGGGACTCAAACCTAGGTCTGGTGCTTTTTCAACTAGGTTTACAGATCCCAAGGACTTTCTGCAATGTTAGTCAATTTGTGCCTATGTGGCATTAGACCCACAAGCACAATCGAGGAAAGGACATTGGCTCTGACCTATCAGGAGCTCCTATTGCCTGGCCCAGCTGCACCAAGCTTATCAGGGATGCTGAAGAAATGTCCTGTCACTTCCGCACAGCACAAGTACCTCTGTACCTGAGGAACCTAACTATTGGGTTCTATCTGTCTATATAGCAGTCACTATCCTACATGACCACCTGTCTTATTTCTTAGAAACTCAGAGGTAGCAATTATCATCCTCAGCATCTACCATGGAGATCTGGACTCAGCTTTGAGTCCTGGGCAGAGAATTAGTGCTTCCTCTCTGCAGAATAAACTAAGTGACCACAGGAAGTTAGCTCCTTTTAGACTTTTAGAGCAAGTCTAGTTGGTTAATAAGAGAGAACAAAGTACTGAAAGAAAAAACAGCAAGACTCACAAGTGGCACACGGCCACGCCTTTATGCTTGTGGTAAAGGGTGCCTCAGAGAACACTTTGAACAAGACCCAGCACAAAGGCCATTTTCACAGTAAAAGCAGCTTAGACGTTAAGGGCAGGAACACTCCTTACATTTCCTCAGGCAGGTAGGCCTCCTGATCAATTTGGACATCAACATCTTTTTTGGTGGCAATTTTATACATTGGAATCGCTTTCTGCACTGCAGCCTGGAAAAAAAAAACAGAAAACGGTGCAAGGTTTTAGCAGAAAACTATGGAGCAAGTATACAAAAATCGGCCAACTATACAAGCAAGGCATATTCCTATCTATTTATCAAGTAAAAGAATAGATGCATTGTTGATGGAAATGTAAAATGGTGCAGCTATTGTGGAAGTGGTATGGCAGTTCCTCAAAAAAAATTAAACACTGAATTACTATATGATCCAGCAATCCAGGTAGAATTCTACCTCTGGGTATATGCCCAAAAGTGAAACCAGAGACTTGAATGGCTAACAGGACAACCATGTTCATGGCAGCATCATTCACAACAGCCAAAAAGCAGGTAGAAACAACCCAAGTGTCTAAGAGATAAGCAAAAATATGCACACAATTCATATGCATACAATTCAGCCTTAAAAAGGAGGAAATTTGGACCACTGCTACCACATGAGGAACCTTGAAGACATCAAGCAAGGTGAAATAAGCCCGTCACAGAAGGACAGATGTAGGATTCCAGCAGTAGGAGGTACCCAGTGCAGGCAAATTCAGAGGGAGAGGAGGTAGGCTGTCAGGGATCGAGGGAATGGGGAGTTAGTAGTATTTAATGGGGACAGAATTTCAGTCCAGGAAAGTGTACATGTTCTGGAGAGGGATGGGGTCACGACTGCACAATGTGCATTTATTTAATGCCACTCTACACCTAAAATGGTCAAGTTTGTACTCTGTCCTATATACAGTTTACAATTTTAAAAACAAATGAGCACACTAGGAAAAAAAAATGCTATACTATAATCAGAGTGATAAAATATAATTAGTGGAAAGTCCTATCTAAATAATACTATGCATGAGTACACATGTAAATAACACTTTCTTTTTTTTTTTTTTAAAGATTTTTATTTATTTGACAGACAGAGATCACAAGTAGGCAGAGAGGCAGGCAGAGAGAGAGAGGAGGAAGCAGGCTCCCCGCTGAGCAGAGAGCCCGATGTGGGGCTCGATCCCAGGACTCTGGGATCATGACCCGAGCCGAAGGCAGAGGCCCTAACCCACTGAGCCACGCAGGCGCCCCGTAAATAACACTTTCTTGAAGGAACTTTAGTTGGCAACTCAGACCCGCCTCCATAGAATGCTCATCACCTTGGGGAACTTTCCAGTATGTCTAGCTCTCTTTTTCACAGGTTCATAAATGAGGTTGTCAACACAGACATGGATCTAGGTTACTGAAATGGTTCATAAACGAGTATCACAATTTATTAATTTCCAGTGCAAGGTGAAGGGAATGAGCATTTGTATTTTCCAGCTGGCATGTTTTCTTTCCTAGATGACAAGTTACTTGGGAGAAAAATTATATAAGGGTACAAATACATTATGTATTCTAAGTATATTAATTTACAGTAAGAAATGTAATTGCTAAGGGACTAAGCACCCAATCCTTCTCCGAAAGCAAGCTGCATGGAAGAATTTTATTTCATTATTATTTTTTTAAAGTTATTTTTTGTTTGTTTGTTTGTTTTACAGAGAGAGAGAGATCACAAGTAGGCAGAGAGGCAGGCAGAGAGGGGGGGGAGCAGGCTCTCCGATGAGCAGACAGCCCGATGCGGGGCTCGATCCCAGGACCCTGAGATCATGACCTGAGCCGAAGGCAGAGGCTTTAACCACTGAGCCACCAACAAAACAAAAAAAAATTTTTTTTTTAAGTTTTTTATTTAAGTACTCTCTACAGCCAACATGGAGCTCAAACTCACAACCCCACGATCAAGAGTCGCATGCTCTCCTGACTGAGCCAGCCAGGTGCCCTGCAAGGAAGAATTTTAACCTCAAGAGCGACTGGATGACACAGAATCAGAGCCAGGGAGTTCATTCAGATTCCTGGGTCCTTCATTCTAGAGCACCCGTCTAATTCTACAGCCTGTCTGGACTCTCCAGGGAGCCAACGGCCATCCCCCAGAAGGGGGGCAGCATCTCCCTTAGCCAGGACATGAAAGAACACCTCGGCATCTGCCTCTGGAACTGCAGCTGTGTTTTCACTGCTGCAACCCTTTTGTCTTGTACCCCTACACTTCTCCCAACTATAGGAATACATACTCTGGGAGTAGTCTGTCACTTTCAAATGGCATGGCCTAACTTTGCTCCAATACTGTGTGCTGCTTTTATGGCAGAATCTTCAGAAGATTATGGTGTTACAGAGCTCCCAGAAAGGCAGGAAGGTACTAACTCAGAAGGGGCAACTTGATCTTCTTTACGAAAAGAAATTAGAGGCTTAGGTACACTTAAGTTACTATCTATAATGTGTTAAGATACCTCTAATTTCTATGGCTGAGCTATCCTCTATTAAAGCATGCATTTCATCCTAACATTCTGATTTTTTTAAAAAAATGGGTTTCTTCTTTAAGCTCTTTACCTTTACCAGAGGGAAATCCTGCTTCCTGCAACGAACAATCATTCGGGGCTCCAACAATTGGTACAAACCCTGTAAGACAATCAGATGCAATTGTCAAGAAATGCAATTTATAAAATCCGAAGCAAAATAAAATATTTTTATAATTATTTCATGTAGTTTGTAAATAGACAGAATACACAGTATGAGAACATGGAAAGAAGCTTTCAATATCACAAACCAGATAAACACACCTAAGGCTCCAGTGGTAGAAACAAAATTGATATGGGAATCTTCTCTCACATCAACTAAGTGGAAGCCAAATGTTATTGTAATTAACCTAAGTAAAATAAGAATTCACAAGCAAGCTGCAAACATTTAAAATGTATATTGTCTTTGGTCTGAACCCAAAATCTAAAGCAAGTATTTTAAAGGTGAAATCAAATTAGGGAAGTTTTGTTCTTCAAGAGGGACACAGTGAGATAGAGAAGGGAGGGAGAGAGAGAGAATCTTAAGTAGGTTCCATGCCCAGTGCAGAAACTGATGTGGGGCCTGATCTCACTACCCTGAGATCATGACCTGAGCCAAAAATCAAAAGTTGGACACTCAACCAACTGAGCCACCCAGGCACCCCTCAAATTAGGGAAGTTTTTTTTTTTTTAATTTTACTTTTTTAAGATTTTATTTATTTGACAGAGAGAGATACAGTGAGAAAGGGAATACAAGCAGGCAGAGTAGGAGAGGGAGAAACAGGCTTCCCTCTGAGCAGGGAGCCCGATGCACGGCTTGATCCCAGGATCCTGGGATCATGACCCGAGCTGAAAGCAGATGCTTAATGACTAACTGCCTAGGTACCCCAAATTAGGGAAGTTTAAAGCTGGAGGTTGCAAGCAAATTTGACCATTGAGTTCTAATTGGACCATTGGATCTAATTGGATCAGACTTTTCCTACCCTTTTATATGGTCTTATGAGTTCTAAAGGACTTATAAGACCATATAAAAGGGTAGGAAAAGTCTGATCCAACCAGTATTACTGTCCCCTCATGCATGAGAAGGAAGAGAGCAAGGAAGAAAGCTAAGATAACAAAATAGGAAAACAAAACAAAACAAACAACAACAACAAAAAACTAGAGCTGGTCTCTAATACATCTTGTCAATTTTGTAAGAACTCTGGCTACTAGTGGTAGGTCGAACCTATAAATTACCTGGAGGACCAGTCCATCCAGCAACACTTGGTACCTGGTTGTATCTTTTACCACTTTGCTGAGTCTCTGTTTTGCTTCATTTAGTAGGTCCTACGAAGAGTAGAAAAGAAAAAGTTATCCACAGGTAGTCAGGGCAGTCAGCTCAGAACTCACCGTGAGGATTGTCCCGGCCCATGCCCATTTGCTTCACATTATATTACTGTTTTCATTCAACACACATTCCAAGATAAATGATAAACCAGATGCTGTGTTAATCACTATACCCTCATACAAGGAAGCAGGAAGCAACATCACAGCTCCCAGGAAGTTCATGCTCAAGTAGAGTAGCCCAGATTATCAATCAGTTCAGAAAACTACAAAACTGACTAACATGGAAAAAGCTACAGGATACAGATTTAAAAAGCAAGCTACTAATATTAAGACTGTTGTGCAGAGACACCTGGATGGCTCAGCTGGTTAAGCGTCTGCCTTAGCTCACGTCATGATCTCAGTGTCCTGGGATCAAGCCCCACGTCTAGCTCCATGCTCAGTGGAGAGTCTGCTTCTCCCTCTGCCCCTCCCCTCACTCATTATTTCTCTCTCAAATAAATAAAATATTTAAAAACAAAGACTTGTGCAAGTTGATTCCATTTTTTTATTAGAAAAAAAACAATATCTGGATAGAGAGCAAAGTATGTAAAAAATCCAGCAGCACTTGATACCTGTTGTATGTTCTAGATACAAGGCTAGATTATCAATGATTTCAATTTTCCTCTTAAGTTTTTTTAAAAGATTCTATTTATTTACTATTCGAGAGCGAGAGAGCAGGGGGAGTAGAAGAGGGAGACAGATCAGCAGCCTCCTTGCTGAGCGTGGAACTCGACATGGGGCTCAAGCCCACATCCCTGAGTCATGACCTGAGCTGAAAACAAGAATCAGATGCCTAACTGACTGAGCTACCCAAGTACCCCTAATATTTTTATTTAAATTCCAGTTAGTTAACATATAGTATATTAGTTTTGGGCACACAATGTGGTGATTCAACGCTTCCATACATCAGCCGGTGCTCATCACAAGCGCACTTCTTAATCCCCATAACCTATTTACCCCATCCCCCCACCCATCAATGATTTCAACTTTTTTTTAATTTATTTGACAGACAGAGATCACAAGTAGGCAGAGAGACAGGCAGAGAGAGAGGAAGGCAGATGCTTAACTGACTGAGCCACCCAGGTGCCCCTGATTTCAATTTTCTTTTTGCTAGTTTGTAGTTTCCAATTTGTCTATAACAAACACTGACCTTCTATAATAAAAATAACTAGGGGCGCCTGGGTGGCTCAGTGGGTTAAAGCCTCTGCCTTCAGCTCAGGTCATGATCCCACTGTCCTCGGATCGAGCCCCACATCGCGCTCTCTGCTCAGCAGGGAGCCTGTTTCCCTCTCTCTTTCTGCCTGCCTCTTTGCCTACTTGTGACCTCTGTTAAATAAATAAAATCTTTAAAAGAAAAAAAAAACTAAAATAAAAATTTAAAGGAATTACCAGGAAACAAATCACTTACGGTTGAGAGAACACAGTGGAAATTACTCATTAAGTAATAAGCATGTATTGGCTTACCGGTGAAAAGAGAAGTCAAGTCTTTAAAAAGGCAAAGAAAGTGCCTCTATTTGCTCTACATGGTCTATTCTACTTATTATGATCTCTGAAAGCTGTTTCTTGATACTTTAAAGAGGAAGGAGAGACACATGCTCACCTAGAGGTCAGTCAGAATTTGGGGAGAGAAGGTGCAGAGGAGTAAGTAGCCTTCTATGCTGAAAAGCCCTTTATTTGGTTCTGAGAATTACCCTTGATCGCCAGCCCCTCTGAAACCCACTGCCCTGCAAGACACCTGAAGTGAACTCTCACTTCACAATTTGTGCAGAGGTGAGGGCACCCGGACTCTCACTCATGCATCTAATGTCAAGCAAACATTTATTTCATTTGATGTCTACTAAGTGCAATTAGACCAAGATTATTATTTTTTTTAAAGATTTTATTTATCTGACAGAGATCACAAGCAGGCAGAGAGGCAGGCAGAGAGGTGGGGGGAACAGCCCCACCCTAGTTTCTTTAGCAGATTCCTTTTTTAGGGGTTATCATAGGAATGCCTCTGTCAGCTAAGGGCTTTAAAGCAGAAGCTGACTGAGGATCAGTAAATGGAAATAAAGCCAACCTGAGATGATCCCACAATGGGAAAAATTGTAAAAAAAAAAAAAAAAGTGACCATCATCTAATAATTACACAATAGAAGAATGTCTTTTTGGACATTTTGTTAACTTTTTTTTTTTTTTTTAAGATTTTATTTTTAAGTAATCTCAACACCCAACGTGGGGCTAGATCTCAGGACTGTGAGATCATGACCTGACCTGAAACCAAGAGTCCGACGCTTAAAAGACTGAGCCACACTGGGGCCCCAAAAGAGCATTTTTCAGAAATAAAATTTCAGGGGTCGCCTGGGTGGCTCAGTTGTTAAGTGACTGCCTTCAGTTCAGGTCCCGGGATCAAGCCCCGCATGGAGCTCCCTACTCAGTGGGGAGCCTGCTTCTCCCTCTCCCATTACCCCACTCTCGCTGTATCTCTCTCTCTGTTAAATAAATTAATAAAATCTGAAAGAAAGAAAAAGAGTGGGTTAAGAAAAGAAAAAAGAAAAGAAAAGGAGAGAGAGAGGGAGGGAGGGAGGAAGGAAAGGAGAAAATTTATGGGGGCGCCTGGGTAGCTCAACTGGTTAAGCGTCTGCCTTCAGTTCAGGTCATGATCCCAGAGTCCTGGGATCGAGTCCTGAATCTGGTTCCCTGCTCAGCGGGGAGTCTGTTTCTCCCTCTGTCCCCTCCTCACTCATGCTTTCTCTCTCTCTCAAATAAAAAACATCTTAAAAAAAATATAAAATAAAAAAAATAAAATTTCTGTATGGACATAGTGAACTATTAAAAGCCAATTAGGGTTGCATGGGTGTTTCAGCTGACTCAGCACCCAACTCTTGATTTCGGCTGGGGTGGAGAGCCCAGGGTCATGGGATTGAGCCCTTGGGCTCCCCACTCAGCAGAAGTCTGCTGCAAATTCTCTCTCCCTCGCCCTCTGCCAATCCCCCACTTGCATACACACACTCTCTCTCTAAAAATAAATAAATCTTAAAAAAAAAAAATGCTCAAAAATCAACCTCTAATTTTAGGTGTCTATCAGAATAACCTAACCCCTAGAAGTGTTATTAATTAAATCCTAACAGCCTGGTTAAGAAGTCATTTAAGGCTTTACAATCTGGGAAGTTTATGGGCACAAAGATTTAAAGCATATACTGCATGAGACATTTGGCTGAAAGAAATCTCAGCCCCTCCCCACCAAGGAATCCCTCCAGCATTTTTCTCTTCATGGGGGAATGGACTAATCAAACAATGGTTAAGCAAAGAGGAATGGATTATGAGGGCTGGTCTGCTCTAAGAGAATGAAACTAAAGAAAGTCAACTTGTAAAGAGCATTACTAGCCATCTGTAAAAGTAACCCACTGTCAAAATCTGGAAACTGGTAAAGGAGGAGTTTTACCACCACATACAACTCCAATCAAGGATGTAGGGAAGTCGAAATACACGAAAAACTGATACAAATTGTACTGTCCCTTAAGTATTCCCATCCCCTTAGTAAGTCATCATAGGCAAAAAAGGTAAATTACAATCAACAATGTTACAAACCACTAATAACTTAGATTCTAAGTTCGACCTCTCTGATTACCATCCGGCTCCCCACAGCGATTTCCCAGGGAGAGATGAGTGTCTTACTGCAGTTCTCAGGTCAGCTCACCTATCAGTATCAGGTTTTGGAAGGGCCTATCTGCCCACTTCAACCTAACTGCCTCTAAGGATTCTGAAAATATTAGGATTCTAGTCCTGGAAAGTAGTAAACTGAAACCTGATTAAGATGTCAACATCGGGCGCCTGGGTAGCTCAGTCGTTAAGTGTCTGCCTTCGGCTCAGGTCATGTTCCCAGAGTCCTGGGATCAACTGGGATCAACTCCCTGCTCCATGGGAAACCTGCTTGTCCCTCTCCCACTCCCTCTGCTTGTGTTCCCTCTCTCACTGTGTCTCTCTCTCTGTCAAATAAATAAATAAATAAAAGAAACAAACAGAAATGCATTACATAAAATTAAAAAAAAAAATGTCAACATCAAAGTCTTGTCTCCCTAGTCCTGCCTAATTTGAATAGTCAGCTGTCCTCCCTCGAAGACAAATATTTCATCTCTCTTTAGCCACAACACCAGAACTCTACTTCAGGATTGATGGATCAGAATTTAAATGTTAGTATATTATTTCTTCTAGTAACTTTTAAATAAGTTGTGAAGTTTAAAGAAGTGTTAATAAAGATCTGTTCTGTGTTAGGCATTATACTAGTCACTTTACTTAGATTATCTAATTCTGTATAAGCTTCAGGTTATGTTTTTTCCATTTTATAGGAAACAGAAGGTTAGAAGGGGCTAAAAAAAAAAATCTGCCCACCAAACAGCTGATACCAGGAAACAGAAATTCAAATTTCACAGGGATTCCAAAGCTTGTGCTCTTAAACCTAGAAAACATCAGGGAAGGCAAGGCAAAAAGATAAATAGCAGAAAAAAGGAACTAAATTTGGTAGTAAAATAGCCTACCAATTTCATTTTTACCCTGGTTTTCTTTTTTCCCCTTCCTTCTATCATTTGTCAATATCCCTTTCTGTCCAACTGTTTGACAACTTCCCTAACATAATTTCCTACTCTGTGGATAAAACTAGAAATAAAATGTTTTAAAATAGCAAAACCCTTTAAAGTATGTGTGGCCCTGATGTATACATAACCCTGTCTGCTGTATCAGTCTGCTTCCCCACCCCTCCAGACCTCTTACTGTATCTGCTCTGCTGTAAAGTACTTGATGGCGAGGAGTTAGACTTGGCAAAGGCCTAAGGAAATAAGCATCTTTAGGATGCTGAGATCACACAATGTTTATTTTCACACAATTCTCATTATAAATTAAAAAAATAAAAGCTCAGCTATACGCTGAACTCAAGCTGCATGCTCCAGAAGACTTGGGACCTCACATGCGTTCCAGAAAGAGGTC